CAACCGATTTGCAACTGGGTTGCATGAGTGGCGGGTCGACATGCATGTGCACAAGTTGAGTTGCGTGCGCGCCAGCCTACTGCTTACATCAGTTGAGTCACATGCGCTCATGTGTGCCAGCCTACTGTTCGTGCAGCCTGGTTCCCTTCTACCCCCAACCAGGCCACCAAGCCTGCAAAACTTGGGGACTGCTAGAAATATTGGCCTTTTCTTTTGCAGCTACAAACTTCAAAAAAGTTTTACTTTTAAATATTTCTAAACAAGCTAATTCACTGTAAAAGTAGTTTTGCTTGATTGCTGTCACTTAACAATTTTAAATGTTGGTTGTAGCTTGTGTCAAGTGTAGCAGGAACGATCTTTCTTTCTTTCTTTTCTTTTTGCTTCTTCTAATAATTGTCCCTGTGGAGTGTTAAAGGTCATTTTTTTTTATTCTCGTATGCTCTTTATGTACTGGCTGTACATGGGAATAGAAATAGAAAAGAAATAGAAATGTTATTTCTACTCTCAAAGTGCTTGAATCCAAGATTACCCAATTAAGATGTTAATTGGTATTAGATTCAGAAATTCATGCGACACGTAAATTAAAAGGTAAAGGCTTCTTTGAGTTGCACTCAATTCTAGGGGACAAGCATGAACATTTCCATATAGGCTTGTTGTAGTATGATAAAGATGATTTGCCATTAACCTATTTCAGGATGCTTGCATTCAATATCCTAGTCTACAGCACATAATCCATAATTTCCTGGAAGTGCCAGATCGGAGCAATTAGCCAGATCTGATTCTGCTTAGATTTTTCAAGATCAGCTGCAGTCAGCTAGATGCTGCCCCCTAGCTGGGTTTTGCATTAATTGTATTAACCTGTATTAGTGGGGATTTGCAGATTTTCAAGTGGGTGCTTTGCTTTGATCTAAGTGAAAGGATATAACTTGTCTTGTAAACGTTGGAGCAAATAACTGCTTTACATCACTTCCTGCCAATGAGAAGAGCTTTTATGCCTGCAGGGAAGCCATTATTTTGAACTGAAGTGATAAATGAAGCAAATCAGCTTCATCCTGGTGCTTTGTGAAGGGAGAGCTTTTACTTTTGTGAAGAGAAGGGCTTCCACCAGCAGGTTCACAGAGGTCTATTGTTATGTACATGGAATTCATTTCTATAGGATGCACAAGGCTGGTTACACATGTCAGAGATGGATCTCAAAAGTAGTTTAAGTGGGACAGAGAATAAGGAACTGAAACTGTATGTTTTTACAACTTAAGTCAGGGGTAGGCAACCTTGGCTCTTTTATGACTTGTGGACTTCAACTCCCAGAATTCCTGAGCCAGCCATGCTGAGGGAAAGGGAGAGTTTCCAAGCTGAGCCAAGGTGTTTCAGGAATTCTGAAGTTGAAGTCCACAAGTCATAAAAGAGCCAAGGTTGCATACCCCTGAAGTTATCCCAAAGATGCTTTTTCAGGAGGCAACTGGACTTTCTTGTTTTTCTTTGAAGATGTTTCGCTTCTCATCCAAGAAGCTTCTTCAGCTCTGACTGTATGGTGGGGAATAAGCACCTTTGGGACAACCGTACCTGGATGACTAAGAATCTACACAGCCATTTGATTACGTTAACTTAATTAGCATACCCCGAACTCAAGTTTGTTGATAGAGGGTTCCATACAATTTATTTTATTTCATTTATTGGTCACCCATTTCTCATACTCAATTTCAGATATAAAACTACTTGGGGGATTTTTTTAAAGAAATAATCAACGATGAATTTCTATTTTTGCTGATTGATTGCTGTTTCTGGTTTCATGTTCCATCTCTTTATGCTCATTCCTTCTATTTGGTCAGCAGACCTGTGGTGCCTAGGCTTATTGCTAAGTCAGTCTATAATAAGACCTCCCATATAATAATAATAGCAATAATAGTAGTAGTAGTAGTGGTAGTAGTAGTAGTAGTAGTAGTAGTAATGAGGTGGAGGAGGTGGAGGTGGAGGTGAGGAGGTGTAAAACTCAGATAGTTTTGTTGCAATTTTGGGCGAGCCACAACATCAAACTTGCTGGTTGATCAATTTCTGTTGTAACCAATGGCTAAACACTCAGTTGATTTGACAAAAGCAGAACCTGAACTTGTGGTGGTGGGGGGAATGCTAGGAAGTAATCAGAAAAGAAGGAAGAAGAAGAAGGAGGAGGAGGAGGAGGAGGAAGGGACCTCGGAGGTCATATAGTCCAACCCTCTGCCCAGGCAGGAAACCCTATATCATTTCTGACAAATGGCTGTCCAGTCTCTTAAAAACTTCCAGTGTTGGAGCATTCACAGCTTCTGGAGACAGGTTGTTCCACTGATTAATTGTTCTCACTGTCAGGAAATTTCTCCTTAGTTCTAGGTTGCTTCTCTCCTTGATTAGTTTCCACCCGTTGCTTCTTGTCCTGCCTTCAGGTGCTTTGGAGAATACCTTGACTTACATATCATATATGTAACTTGAGCACTGAGGAGAGGATGACTTACTTGTAATACCGAATCCTGGCTGGATCCGTAAGGTAATGTGGCCAATAGGTATCAGGCATGGCATCGACGAGATTCTAGGGCAGGGGCAGGGGTGTCATCCAGGAGTCTCTTACAGCTTGAAGGGCACTAGTCCAAAGGTTACCCAGTGTAAAGCATTGTTCTTTAAGTTTGGTTCTAGGGATCAGTGGGGATTGTTACTATTGAATTAAGATCCCTCAACTCAACCTTTTCACTCATTGTACCACTTTTAGGATATGGCAACGTCTCAGTACCACCAGTCACCTAGCAAGGTGTCAAAAACTTGATGACCCCCCAAAAAAGGAAAGTGATAAAGTACAGGTAGTCCTCAACTTACAACAGTTCGCTTAGTGACTCTTTGAAGTTACAATGGCACTGAAAAAAGTGCCCCCCAAGCCACAGCCGAGCAAGACACCTGCTTGCCCATCCAGCAGCACTCTTCCTCCTCTCTGAGGTTTTCATTGTCGTGAGCATTTCTGTTGAGGATTGGCAGCAGGGGTGGGGTGGGGGGGAGTTTGGTTTTTATTCCCTCCGTCTGCTGGGTGGTTGCAGCAGGTTTTGGTCACTTCACATGACCCTGGGACACTGTGACCATCATAAATATGAATCAGTTGCCAAGCATCTGAATGTAAATCACAAGATTTGGAGATACTGCAACATTCCACCTGATTGGTGCTTCTTCTGAGCTCAGCAGAAGCACCAGGATCAGTGCCGAGCTCCAGCTGTCCTGCCTTCAGGTGATTTGGAGAATAGCTTGACTCCCTCGTCTTTGTGGCAGCCCCTGAGATATTGGAAACTGCTATCATGTTCCCCCTCATCCTTCTCTTCATTAAACTAGACATACCGAATTCCAGCAGCCATTCCTTATATGTTTTAGCCTCCAGTCCCCTAATCATCTTTGTTGCTCTTCTCTGTACTCTTTCTAGAGTCTCAACATCTTTTTTACATCGTGGTGACCAAAACTGGATGCAGTATTCCAAGTGTGGCCTTACCAAAACATTGTAAAGTGGTATTAACACTTCATGTGATTTAGTTTTTCTACACATTGAAATTAGTTTGGTCTTATTTACATTTACTCTTGGTCCCTTTGTGTTCCTTGATTTTTAAATCAATCTGATTTTGCAGATCCTCTGCATTTTTGCTGGCCAGTGTAGTGTAGCGTCATCAGCATTATTCAGGTTATTGATGTTTCTTCCTTCACTTTTGAAACCATGGTCATTCTCTTCCATTCCTGTTTTCCTTAATGAATTGGTTGAATAAATAAGCGGAGTACTTTTGTTAGCAACATAAAATGTGAGTTTGTGGAAGACCCATGGTCCTGAATATTCTGTATTGAAGAAAATCAGTGGGAAAGACCAGTGTGTTACACTATATCCAAGATCATGTAGCTGCAGAGAATCCAGTCTTCTCTTTTGCTGTATTAATGCATCATATTTTGTGGAGACTGTGATTGTACATTGCTTTGCATGTGTAAAGTTGAAGAGTCAGTGTCTGATATTCCTACGAAAGATATTCTAAATAGAAGGTGGAAGCAAAGATACTTCTTAGCCACAGGTCCTGGAAGGTTGCCATTAGTCAGAGTAGGCAAGGCTGGACTAGATGGAAAAATAATCTACCTAGACAAAAGGCAGTTTCCGATATTATTTTAAATGCTCTTTTGTCTTCCTCATTGTTCCGCTTTTTAAATTTCCATATATTTAAGCCCAGCCTGCAACATTTCACCTACTAAGCAGAACTAAGTCATGTACGGTTGCCTTTTGGTTGCTTGCCAGCTCCACCTTCTTATCATTTTTGAAATTCTACGTAGGAATCAAAAAAAGAAGAAATTTATCAACCTTGTCCTGGATCACTAGACTAGCTGGAGAGCAGTGATGGGTTTCAAACTGTGCTGGTCTGTGATAAAAATCTGGCTGGAAATGAAAGGAGCAAGGGGAAAAAGAAAAAAAAACCTGGAACAGAAATTCTGCTTTGCATGTGCATTTCAAGACTTGCATCCATCACCCCATCTCCTTGGAATGAAAGGCATGTTTTCTGAACTGTTAAAAAAAAATGCATCAGCGCCCTTTGGTAAAACCCTAATATTTGGGGTTGACCTTCTGGCAGCCTAGTGCAAAGGCAGAAACTCACAGAGCAGGAGCTCTGCAAATTATTAACCAGTTTATTAAACTGTGATGTTGACTTGTACCAGCAAGGGGGGTAGAGGGGAAGAAACCCTCTGGAAAATAAATGTTTATGGACGGTGAGGACAAAGAAGATACCAAAACCAGCCTTAACAGCATTGGCAAGCATTCCAAGTTAGCTCCCTGAATGTTTCTGTGTGAATTAAATTCTTTCCTAATTAGATTTGGAAGATGACGTTTTTTTGTTGCTGCTCTTGATAGGAGTGAAAACAAGCTTTGATTACACAGCATGAAAGTCGAAATAGCAGTGGGACTCAAGGGGACCCAGAAGCAGGAAAGATTAATGGGACAGCCGAGGGGGAGTGGGACACTTCTGCAAGAAGCAAACAGGGGCTCTTAATGCCAGACACGTGACATTTCTTTGAAGTCAAGTCAAAGTCAACCTTTTAGAAAATCAACATTGCAGACTGCTGCCCGGGTGCGCTTTGCCTCCTCTATATTGTTTTGCTCGCACCTGCCACACGCTTGCAGCAGGCTGGAGCAGAAAGCAAAAACAGTGGCCGAAAGCAGCAGTGCGAACAGCAGCAGCCGCCGCAGCCTTTGAAACCCTTCCATTGAGAATAGTTGGATGGGGGGAAAACCTTGGCACAGGCATCCCTTGGAAGAGGCGTGTGTGCTTCAGCCAATCCACCGAGGAACTTAAAGGTGGTGCTGATGAACGGCTGATCCTGCCAGAGCCCGATGCCATTGCCTCAAGAGCTGGGAGAGAGGAAGGCAAGAAATCATCCAGACTAACTGAAGGGAGAGCATTTTCTTGCATGATAATTAAGGGGGAAAGAAGCAGTTCTTTGAAGAGCATCTGTAACGGACAAGGGGAGCCTTTAGGGAGATGCTGTCGTGATTTTTGTCCCCTCTTTACCGAGATGAAAAAGGAGCCTCCAACTCAATTCTTTGGGGTCCTTTTTTTGGCCATTGTTCTCATCTTCCATTTATGCATTGCTATTTGCTGACCTTTCGCACTGGAGTCTCTGCTCCCCCCCCCCCTTCCCAGTTGCTCCACCCTGTACAGTTCCAGCTGAGAAGAGGCATTGTTTCCCCAAACTGTGCCATGAAGCACCCAGGTGGTACCTTCCATGAACAATGAACCTCGGGGTTGAGATTTTTTTCGTCAAGGTGGTAGGACATTGTGTGACCATTCCAACGGGCAATCATACCAGAAGTGAAGGAGCAAAAGGAGCCAAGGAAGAGTGAAACGAAAGCATCTGAAAACCACTAGCAAAGAAGGAAAGGGACAAGCCCCTTTTCCTTGAAAGCGTGCCCTCACCACGTTCAGCCGAGACGGAGAACGTCAAAAGTCTGAGACACTCAGGAGTGGTGATGAGAAGACAAACAGGAGTAAATGAGAATGATTGATTGCACCATGACATCACAGAATAGTCTTTAACATCTGCTTTGGGCTAGCAACTCTCTCTCAGGCCCGCATGATGCCTGAAGACAGGAATACGGGGGTCCGTGCCTCAGGTGCCCTGGCATCTTCTCCTTTTGTTCCCAAAACTACTTACAGGAGGATCAAGCGATGTTTTAGCTTCCGAAAAGGTAGGTGCACTCCTTCTTTTCCTTTCTATGAGGGGAGCTTGGGAATGCGAGAAAGCAGAAATGCCTTTTTAACAGAAATGATTTAACAGAAAGACAAAGGAGGCGAAGCGATACACGATTTGCCAGATTTTAACTTTATTTCACCTCGATTGAAGTTCACGTTGCAGGATCGCCATTGTTTTTCTCCTTGCAGGCTTGCAGACCCACGAGTGGAAACAAATAGGGCTCCAAAGGTTTAGCAGGGTTTAAAAATCACCGTGCATGGGTGCAATAAAAATCAGTCGGGCATCCAGGACACCTGCTCCCACTTAAGCACGGAAGAAATGGTCAGCGATAGAGCTTAAAAGCAGGGGCAAGAGAGCCATTCGTGTTTGAGAAGGATTGGTGAGCTGTAAAGGTTTGTGGCAGGGTCCAATCTCTTCTGTTAACATTTTGCTGTGTGAGTTTGCTTGCGTGCCTTCTGCAGCTCATTTCTTTTTTCATTTCCCTGCTGCAAAAAAAACTCCCAACAACACAACCTTTTCATGCTGGTTGTCCCACCCCTTTTGCTTAATTATTATACTTCTAATCAATGCATAGGATTTTTCCTGGGCATGTGTGTGCATGCATGTGTGTCTAACACAGCCGCTGGTGGTGGCAGTACAAAATGTATTGAGGGGAAGAGCAGGCATAGTGTTAGTTTTAAAAACATAAAAAAGAATTCCCCAGAACTGATCCAGTTGGCAAACCCAATATGCACACAGATATAGGGCAGAGGAGCAAGCACACTTTCTACTAATTCCCTTAAGATCCAGTATCTTCAGACTGTTTAGTTTTAATTACATTCCCCTTACCTGTGACAGTTAATGACTCCTCACCTCTGGAGGCAATATGTTCTTTGGCACGAAGCCTTGAAATTCACGTATTAATATAAAAAGGGACAGTGTGCTTTTTGTAGTGGGAGGGAACCCAAGGAACTAAATATCTTTATTGTACAGATCTGAGATAAGACTTAAGAAATAGGATCTTGCCCTGGGTCAAGAGAAACTCAGTGATCCCTTTATTGTTAGTCTTCTGTTGGTATCATTCCATTTATTTCCAGTGGGAAACTTGGAAGAAATGAAATAAATAATGGACAGTAAGACACTTTCAGAGTTTCACTCGATGGGTAATGACCACGTAGAAAAGGAATTGTATCATGGGTATTAGTCGTTTCCTAAATGTATTTAACTTGCTGTGTAAAACATGTATGGGTTGATTATAATGCAAGTCTTGGGATTATATACAATTGCAATGAACTATTTAAAGAAGTCTTTTTGTTGCTGTTTTTTTTTTAAAAAAAAGGATAGACCTTTCTGTCACTTTCCAGAAATTTAATAAATGATTTCAACATTCCGAACATCCTTTTAAACATTTCTAATTTTTTTTTTTAAAAAAAAATATCTCTAGACAAAATTCAGTGATACTTCAAGGGATATATGAAGTATTTGGGTAGTCTTTTAGAAACCTTTTGCTTTGGGGGGAATTTAAACTTTAGTTTTTCCTACAAAAGAGTCTCCAGATTCATCTCCAAGGACATCTTGAAGCACACTATAGAATTAGAAGATTCCACTGAGGGTAGATTTCTTCTGAGGATATTTTTCAGTTGAATTTTTTTCATCTGGAGATATACAGACCACTCCCTCAACTGATTCCAACCCAGATAGTGAAAATCAGAGGAACAGGGCCATCTCAGCTCAGCTGCAATCAATTTTAGCTCAAAACTGAACATCAGAGACCCTACTGAACAAAAAAATGGCATTTGATCTGGCACATCTGACTAAATCAGAATTAAAAATCTCATTTCTTAGCAAGCTTTTTAAAGCAAAGAGCAAGCACAGAATTTTGAGGATCAAAGCAATGAGCAAGATCAAGAAATGACCATTCAGCCTTCCTGAATTCATATCCAGAAGAGATACCATATCAAGAATCTTTCCTCATAAACTCAAGACTTCTCTGGTTTTCCTGAAGTTTTATTGTACTTAAATCTCCCAGAATTTGGTGATCTCACAAGATCCTTAACATTTAGACTTTTTAAAATATCTTTTTATTCACAGATGTCAGTTCAGGAGGTATTCATGTTCTAATATTTGCCTATATGGTGATCAGCAAAAGCTTTCAATGGCAGTCCACAAAATAAATAAATAAATGATTGGAAATTGATGCTTCAGATATTTTGGACTGTAATATTAGTCCAGGTAGCTGAGAATAGATTGTGACCAGGTTACCTTTTCTGACACAATGGGAATTAAGCTTTGGGAAGTTTGTCTGATTTATTTTCTAGTGAATATGATTGTCTGCTGGGTGAGAGAATCCAGTATTTTGGAATGTGGTTTTGTTTCTTTTTTTTTTATATCATGCCTCCACAAAAAAGCTTTCCCAGTTACTGCATAGTTGACAAATAAAAAAATAAAGTATTAAAAGCATAAAAATCTACCATTTATGTCTTAAGCTGAAAGCTAAACTGAAGAATTTTTAAATAATTCAGTCTGAATGAGGTTTTGTTCTTGAAGGGTGAGTACACATGTGTGTTGAAATACTCACTATTCAAAATTTAATAACATAAGCAACGCAAAAACGCTCATAAAACCATGTTTTAGGGAAATATTCACTAAATACACAATGTGGCAATATTTACAAACGTATATAACATTAGTGATATTTCCAAAAAAAATAACATTAGGAAGTGTGCAAAACTGCAAATGATAAAATGCACAAATAGGTCTGGATTTTCACACAAGAAAATTGTGATGAATTTACAAACTAATAGCCGAAACAAACTAAACATCAGAAAAATTAGAAGCCAAGGGAAACAACAAGAATGTATAAATTCATCCCTCCTCTGTCAAATGCAGTGCCTGAAAAGTAATATTTGGCTCCTTTCTGCTTCAGAAGAATAAAAGGACACAATTCCTTTTGCCTGGTATTTAGAAGACAGAGAGTTTCTTTATTTTTAATAGACCTATTTTTATCCGTTCCTTGTGTCTGTTTATGGGATAGCACATTCTATCCCTGTCTGCCCATCTCATTTCATGTTGCTTTTAGCCACAATGGAATCTATAAACAGACCTGAAGAAGGCCTTGGATTTATTTAAATGCAAATAGAACTCTTGAGAAATCTGGGATCCTGTCTCGTTTGGATTTTTGCTCACACATACAGGTACAAACCTCATTTAGTGAACAAGCACTAAGAAAAGCGGCTTATAACATTTTTCGTACTTACAACTGTTGCAGCACCCCCAGGGTCATGTGATCAAAATTTGGATGCTTGGCAGCTGGTCCATATTTATGACGTTTGCAGTGTCCCTGGGTCACGTGATCACCTTTTGCAAGCTTCTGACCGGCAAAGCCAATGGAGAAGCCAGATTCACTTAACAACTGTGTTACTAACTTAACAACTGCATAAATTCACTTAACAGCTATGGCAAGAAAGGTTGTAAAGTGGAACAAAACTCACTTAACAAATGTTTCGCTTAGCAACAGAAATGTCAGGCTCAATTGTGGTCGTTAGCCAAGAGTACCATTACTTGAACTCTGAGAAATGAAAGTACAATTTGCCTTCAAACCTTCAGGGTGAAATGAATGGACATCCAGGAGAAGATGGGGTTGGCAAGATGTGAAGATATATGGGATGGGTTCAGTCTGCACAACTCCTTGTTCCACCCAGTTTGAAACTTTCGTAACTTTTAGGGGATAAACCAAACAAGAGTCGTCAATAGAGTAGGGGGACAGTTGTAGAACTGAAGGAAATATATATTGCATCTTTGTGCCTGACATAAGAGCTTCGGGGGGGGGGGAGGAACGGTCCTTGGTGCTCTCTGAGCTTGGTTGTTTCCTTGCAGACATTTCATTACTCAAACTAGCCCTAGCACTGATGATATGACCTGGTTTGGTAATGAAACATCTTCAAGAAAACAACCAAACTCAGAGAGCACCAAGGACTCCTCATTTCAACCCTAAGCTGCAAATATTCTCCTTTATTGTTAAGGGCTTCTGAAATGGCGAAGTCTTCAAAAAGCCTTTTTTTCAGGAGTTCTTAATAATTGAACAGGTTCATAATGAGACAGGCTGTCCTTTATGAAGACAAGTCATAAACTGCTCAGAGCTTTGAAGATTAAAATCAATGTTTCAAATTGATCGCAGAAAACAATTAGCAAGCAGCAGAACATGGCACGGTAGCTTTTTCAACACTGGTGTCACATGGTGCCTATTCTGTGCACTAGATAGTATCCCAGCTGCTGACTTATACCAGTTACCATCTGTGATTCTCCTGCTCAACAGCATTGTCTCCTGAATAAGACTGGTGGTTGTACAAAATAAAAAGCTGAAAATTAATCCAGAAGTTTTTGCTGGCAGACAAGTCCAGAGTAGACAGGTTTCTGTTTTCTTACATTTCTTAATGAGTTTACTCAGTCCTCTGAAAGGGTATGTCAACAGTCTGTAGAAAATCAATAGTACAGCTTGAATGCTTGATAACCATATGGCTCTTATGCCCATGAAATCCAACGTGTTAATGAATCAACTGTGAACTTACCTTGTCTGATTAAATATCTGCCCATCTTCATCTATGCAAAATCAACTTCTTGGGTTCAGATTTACCTCAAGGGTTCTCTTATTTGAAACTTTTCATGCTTTTTACAGCACATTCACAAAGCAAAATGGAAATATACTTAAGCTTACTTAATTTGAAGAAATCAGAAGATTCATTTTGACAGATGTATTCATAACAGAAAGCATACATTCAAATACTTTAAGGATAAAATTCCCTATGTTCTCATCTTTGTTTTTCTCTCCTATGTGCCATCCTCTTTTTCAGTTCTCCTCTTTTCTTCTTTCTCTGATGGCTGACAGTGCTTTCTTTCCTGGGCCTGTTTTGCCCAGTTTTGCAAAGATCGTAGACAAAATATTTACCAAGAAATTCCCTGTTTACTAGGACTCTAAAACAACCTCCCCCCAAAATAGAAGCATATGGTACCTATCAT